CAGGAATGAGGAATGAATAGTAATTTCTAATGCAGTTACACTGTAATCACAGAAATAACTACAAAAGCACCCTCTTTTTAGTAAGGTTAACCAAAAAGCAAGTTTTGAAGTTCACATCTCATCCCGCCACAAGAAAATGGATTAAAATTTCATCTTAAAAAGAAGTTAGTATATTTGCAGAATAATCGAGGATGAAAGGGGACCTCTTTAGATTGTCTAGTCCAAGCCCAGGGCCTTGTCCACAAAAGAACACGGACAAAGACTAGATAATTCAAATGCTGGAATTTACTAACACACTAAACACTAACACTAAACATTAACACACGATAAAGGACACAAAAATCTAAGCCCATTTCTTTCAATACTTAAAAGCACATATTAGTTTTAGGGTACGTACCAGATGGAGTTTCAAAGAGACTTCAGGGCAAGTAATACCATCAGTGGGAATGAGACCAGTCCATTATGAACTCAGCAAAAACAATTAATGCTAGCAGAATTAGAACCTTTGCCCTGCTAAGCATACAAAAAGAGACTGGTTGCCTCATTCTCAAACTACTTTAAAAAAAAAAAAAAAAAAAAAAAAAATCCATCAAGGACTATTATAAAAATATTTCCACCTGCAATAACAATCTGCCACAGCATTGGTGGAGTTTCCTGTTCTAGGAATAGACAGTCTCGCAAATACTGAGCAAAAGGTAAACAGTGAAGAATGGTAAACATCCTGTTTAAAATTTGCCAGCTCTAATAGTACAGTAGATGACAAAGTTCTAATTTACCAGATTACATCCTTGGTCTTTTTTCCATTTAACTGTATTAAACTTTCACTTAACAGAGTTCAGCCATTGGCAGTGGCAGCTGATGGTAGACTTTCCGCTCAAGCTAAAAAAAGGCAGAAAATCCAAGTAACTCCCAGGTCGGAAAAAAAGGCGCATTTTGTTTTATTGCTAGAATAAGCCTACATTCATTACCCCTAAAAATTTTCATAGTAGGAAAATTTTCATGCAAGGAGCAATGAAGCGCAAGTATTGGCACCTTCTACTACCAAATATTAGTTGGGCTTTCATCATTTCAGTGGGAAAAGCTACATTCTCTCTTGGCTGGAAGAGTGATCCGAAGCCTCTTCAGCAAAAGAATCCCAGCCATCCTCCTGTCAATCACCAGAGAAGAAACCTCATCAGCACTGCTCCTGATCTGGCTGAGGGCTGTGACACCAAGCCAGATTGCCAGCAGAGATAATGGTATGGCAACAGTACAGACCTGCTTCCACCACACATACACCAGATGATCAATTTTAAGACCACTCTTCCACCATCCTTTGCAGTTCAGATGAAGCCCATCACTTATACTAATCCTGTCTCTCTAGTGAAGGAGCTGCTGCTTTCAGACTTTCGATGGTCAATGAAGAACTGAAGTTAGCACCAGACTACTAGGGTTCTCGATGAACTAGACTCAAGTCTTTTTATAATAAAAACTAAGAAAGACTGGTCAGCTGACTGGTTTAGGGGGCGTCTACTTGGAACCATTTCTAATTTAAACATTGAGATCAATTATAAACATTAAGGTCAAATTATGTTATAAATTAGACAAATTGGACAGTGTTTGGTAATGTGTCAAAAAGTATTGATAAGAGTCTTTCATCCTACAGAAGGGTTTTATTTTCCTTTTTTCCCCTCAATGAAAAATTTTGGATCCAGAGTGTATCTATTTATGTAGAAGGAGAAAAAAAAAAGCAACAAAAAAACCCGAAGAGAAACATCGATCTCAGGAAAGACAATGCTAGACAGCCAAGGATAACTGCATCTCAGTAGAAACTCTAGACTATTAAAATCTTAATCTTATTAAGTTCTTCCTTGACCCATTCCACTTAGCATCTCTCAAGACAATGCTACCATACTACAATTCAACCTTCTCCATGGAGACACTGTCAACCAAGAGCATTCTTTGGCTGCAGTTTCCATTAACTTGCTACACTCCATTTTCATAAGTCATACGATGCATCTTCAGTTAAGCTGTTTTTCCTTTTAACCTCGGGATTTTTTGTGCTCTGAATCAAACTTTGGAGATTCTATTAGCTTCTTAGGGAGACTATGATTCTAGTTCAAGCACATAAATCTAATGCAGTGAAGTCAGAGGATACAAATCCCCTCCCCTTTTCTGTGATCCACAAAGGGAAAAGTGATTGAGTAAAAGCAGCTAAAGAAGAAGACATATCACATTTTATACTGCTTCATACTTACTGTGCTCTGTAAGTGGTTCGTTTCCTGTGCCTTGGAAGAAACATTTTCTTGCTCCTCTTCTTTCAAAGCTTGGGTTACTTCATTCTCTTCTTGGGCCTCTTCCTTCAAGGTCTTTGTCATTTTACTGTTTTCTTCAGCTGGAATTTCAGTTTGCCCACCTGTGTGTGTCTCTCCTTGCAGATCTCTTCCAGTACCTTCTGGCTGCTCCAGGGGTTTCTCAGTTGCACTGGTAGCTGGACTATCCTCTACCGAATCCAGAGAGCTGCTTGAACATTCATTCGAGTTTCCAGCATTTTCATTATATCTGCTGCCTGATGGACAACTTCCGTCAGATGCATGAGGGGAGTCATCTTCACTGTCATCCTCACAATCCGAACTGTCATGATCATCCAATCCTTCCAATCCCAGCCTGGCATAAGCAGTACATTACAAATGAGTTTTCATCTATCTTCACTTTTTTTTTTTTTAATTATTTTTATTATCACACTTCTCTTTGCAAAACTCACTTCAGAGAGCTGCAGTGAACTACTCTAGCAGCTATTTAGGATAGTTTAACTAAATGGAAGAGCTGCTAATATTGAACAGGACCCACCATCCCCTGAAAACAGGTATCTTTTTACAGCATTCCCAATACAGAAATGTGTGCTAGCTATGGCTACTCCACACACCACTGGAATCATTAAGGCTTCTCTTTCATGTGACATTAGGTGAAAAATGCCAGGAATTTTTTTTTTTTTAAAGTTAATTGTAAATTTACTTCATTAATGAAAAAAAGGACAATGGGAGGTAGTAGAATATAACCATATTAGAAGGGGGGGTGGGGGGGGAAGGGTGCCTATTTTTGCAAATAAAGTTTGTCTGCTCCAGCTGGGACAGAATTATATAAACACAGCAACATTTAGTTTCAGTTCTCCGACTTAATCAGTTCAACTTAATTTTACTATTTAAGTCTACATCTCAGATAAGATGTCGCTTACTTGTATGTACCTAACCTGTCATCCTGTCCAAGGCTTAATACTTGACTATTAAGTACAAAAAGAGTCATAATCCTTACCAAAAACATCTTCTTTTTCGAGATTTTGTTCCATTCTTTCCAGATTCACCTGAACGCTTCCGACTGTCGCCACTTTCTGGTGACACTATTTTGCTTGAAGTCGCCTGCAATCCTTCAAAACAAAGTTAGCAGTCTACATCATCAGTACACAATTCACGTACTTTGTAAATTCTACTTATCTTTTAATTTCAGCTGCAATTTAAAACAGCAACTGAAAAGAATCACTAGTAGTGCACATGAATGTAGACTCAAAGCTTCAAAACAAACTGAGTAGCAGCAAAAGCTTTCCCACACTGCTTTACTAAGGCACAGAGACAATTAAAATCAGATTCCTGAACTGAACCCTCAGGATCTACATCCCATTCAGCCTCAAGTTTCACTATCAAGCTGCCAGCAAAGGAACAATCTGTGGATAAACAAAATAACTAAAAGAACAGTAAGTGAAACAAGGTATTTTGTAGTTGGATTCAATTTCTAGTTTTTACATAAGACCTGTTTATATATTATCATTTCACTGACAATGATTATGTAATTCTTACCGCTGAACTAGAAACACCACATTCACAGAATTTTGCTTTTCTTACGAGATGAAGCTGTAGTACAGCAAGGTAAAGCATCTGTGTGAATTATCTGTGTTAAGCTGTTCAATGCAGTTTAAGAGAAGCAGTAGCCAACAAGGAAAAATGAATTCCAACAAATTTTACTGGAATTTAAAATTTAATTCAATTGAAGTTATTGACAGCAATTTTCTTTTTTTTAATTTTCATATGGAGTGAGGCTATAGGGGTTTTATTTTGCTTTATTTTTTGAGGAGAGAAAGTGAAGTTAAATTGCAATACCTTTAAGGACTGAGTCTTCCAGTCGCTCAGCCATTTCATGACACTGCTGCTGGTAGTCAGGATTTGTGAAAAAGTGCTTTGGCTCTGCAAGTTTCCGCTGCAGCCTTTCCAAGCGCCTTTGCTCTTTTTCTGCTTCCCGTTCTGCTTGCTGCTTCACCCATTCAGCCATCCTGCAGATGACAGAACCATGAAAATGAGAGTGCTTCCAACATTTAATGTAGTATCAGTTTGTTGCTTTGCAATTACTGAATGCTTCTACCACCTGCTAGGATGGGAGACAATAGAAAAAGATGACTAACAGCACCCAGGAGAATTACTGAAGGACTCTATAGAGATTCTGCTACAGAGAAGAGTAAAGTTTGTTTTGGAAGCCAGAAACAGCAGTAAGGTTACATATTCCCCAATACCATGGTCTTGCAGCTTCAGAGAGAACAACTGTGAGAATTCCAGATGAGAAATCGAAGAGGAGCAGAACACTCTCAGAGGCAGGCTGCAGTACAATCACCTCTATTTTGCAGTAATATAATTATAGTCAGAAGAATCCTGTTGGCTTCCAGTCTACCTTAAGATTATGCTTAAGATTTCACTTTTGCTCTTTTTAGTGTTCAAAATAAAATTTCACTGCTACAACAGCCTGTCATTTGAACTCTTTTGTTGACAGCGAACTACATGGTCAGTTTATTTTATAATTCTAGCTTCTAAGAAAATGCCTTACGCTTTTTCGTGATTGACATCTCGAAGTCTCCTTCCACTGAGATCTCGGCAAGCCTCTCTATTTGTTGTCTTTTCAATCTGAGCACCAAGTGCTCGCAGCATAGATCCAAACCCTGAGAAAAAAGTAATCAAGAATTAGCTAAGTAGAAACAAATGGAGATGAGCTAGTACACCGCAAAATAATTAATTATGGAAAAAGAATACAGTCAATTCAACACTTCCCTCTCCCTCCCTGCAACTGAAATAAAGGGTAAGTTAAAAGTTGCAACATGTTGGAGAATTGTCATTGGGTGAAATGCTGACACACTAAGTGAAAAAAGGCATCCAGCGTTTACCACTCGTCTTGGTTTTGCACTCCCGATATCACACCAGATGGACTCCAGATTTGCTAGAACTTGTGGAACACTTCCAACATGAAAGCCTATTTCTGGACTCCCCCAGCAAAATGGTTTGAAACCTTTTTAATCACAATATAACATTTTGGGTCCTTTCTAATTTAGCCAGGATATACCTCCCCCTTAAGCCCCTTTAAGCCCCCACCAATCTTAAATGCCCTTTTAAAAATCTAACAAAAAATAAAATTACTTTTTTAGGAGATAGCCTTAGCAGCTTCATCAAGATGATCATGATTGTGCTGCAGAGTCCCCCCAAATAGATTTCTCTACGCTCCTCAGCCACTAATTACTCACAGGCAAGGCTGCTGATCTCTCTCTATCAGTCCTACCTTATGTTGTCTCCAGTTTGAGAAAGACACTTGTTTAACTACCTCAAAGAAACACAATGTGCATTAATACAATCCTTCAAGCAATTTGAAAGTGCCAAGCACTGCTTTTTAACTAGAAGCTGAACAAATCTATACTTTTTAGTGCCCCAAAAGTACCTTTAAGGACTGTTACAACCAATCCAGACAACCTACTATATCACGAGGCAGAAAAAGCACTGCGTTCAGCCAGCAAAACCAATTGCTGCCATTGGCAAGGAGAACTTCTGTAGCACATGAAACATGCTATTGAAGTTTACATTCTGAAGAATGCGGACTTAGCTGCTACACCTAGCCAGGCAAGCTCCCAAAAATCAACAGCAATGTATTCACTAAGGTCATGGGTGCTAAATGAGGTCTGGTAATAAAATGCTCAGTTCTCTTCTAAGCTGGCATGATCTGTAATCCCTTGAGATCATACAGTAAGTCTCTATAGTTTTGACCTGTTTGCCTGTTTTTAATCACACTTTTAAGTTATAAAGTCAAAATAAAAGGAGCACTTCAGAAATCAGACAAAATTGTTAAAGAACAATTTTAAACTGACCCCAATGGCACATCAGTAACACAGAGTGAATGACAGAACACGTATCCTGTGTCATCCCAGGATAACTGAAGCTGACGGACAATAGGTGAGGAAGAAGCATCCTGTCCTGTGAACTTATACCATATGCGTCACTTTTAGGGCACTTAAAAAACCCACAATAGCTCATAAGCTATAGCAACAATATTTATTTCCAGTTCTGTCTAAAACTATGAAGGCAAAGCAAGCTGAGCTGCAGCCTGATGCAAGGCTGCACAATTATTCAGCATTTTAACTCAATAGCTGGAACATTCTGAGAACTGGATTCAAAAAGCAAACTCCAATCACACTCAAATGCTCTGCTAAACCTGCTTCACCCATCACGTTCCATTTTAGGGAACGCCCATACTGTGAGTGGCTACATCATTTTGTATGATTACAACATGTCTTCTGTAACGCAGTTAGAATATTTTGTCAATATAAGGAGTCTGGTTTAGATTAAATTCTTTAGTTCTCAGGCTACTGAGATCTTGGCATTTTAATATTTTTTCAAGTAAGAGAAGACAAAATCAATTAAGTCATGTAACATATTCAAATCACAGACTATTTCTACCTGGCGTGTTTGTCCTAAGTGACCACGAATGTAACTTAGGAGTTTAAGAAGCCAGGCACTATTAAACACAATTTCAACTCTAAAGTCACTTTGGTGCATGTTACAGATTTCTACTAGCAGAGCAAAGCTGACCAGGGGTGCGAAGAAGAGCTATGCCAGCGAAGTTGTTAGCTGAACTACAGCTCCCCTGGTAAATTCTCAGCTTTGCACATAGACTTTGGTTTCAGCTCACAGATATTGTATCACAGTCATCCACATTAAAAGAGATGTGCTAATAGATTAGGACTGCTGCTGTCAGTATAGACTACAATATAATAAAAGTTTTTCAACCTAAGAATCTAATCAATAAGAAGCAGTTGAACAACACACCTCCTTTTCCACCACAAAGTCTTGGTTCCAGACTATAAACGGCTCCATTCTGCAGTATATCTTCATCATTAACCAGTCGCCCGTTACATTTCACATACAAGCTTTCTTCAGGAATATTCTAAAAAGCAGAAAAATTGAGCCGTATGATCAACTGAGAATGAAACATTCTGAGAAAGTAAATCATTAAGAAATAATGTTTCCTTCCTTCCTACAGGAACAGAGGGGAAGCAAAAATCAGACAATCTTAAAAGCATAAACATTCTCTACAGTGCTTGTTTTAATTCCTGTTTACTCAAGGATTAAACACAGCCTAAATCAGCTTGTAAACATGAATGGAGAAAAGCCGTGCTATGGGAAAATTTACACCAAGTGTTCGAACACGCTGAATTAAAAAATGAACAAAGAAACAAAACTCACATTTTTTGGACTGTAAAGAAGATTGATATCTTCCACATATATAGAATATAAATAACAGATTACAGGACTCTCCTATAGCAAACCCTCCTGCTCAGATCAGCGACAGCAACGAGAAGAAGCGTGCCCACAGTCGCGACGTGCGACAGCCCGTCAATGGGTCCCTCCACCGCGGCGAGGCCTCACGGCGAGCGGGGAAGGGGCGAGGGCAGACATGCGGCCTGCTAGCCGGCAGCTCGGCGCCCTCACCCTCACGCTTCCTGAGGCCTGAAGGGACGCCGCATCCCCACAACCGCCTTTCACTCACCAGCGCCCGAGCGCGATCGCGGAGGAGGCCCCGCACCGACCCGCCGCCGGGGGGCAGCGG